TCTGGACTAACCCATTCCAGTGCTTCACCACCCTTCTAGTGAGAAAGTTTTTCCTAATATCCAACCTAAACCTCCCCTACTGCAACTTGAGACCATTACTCCTCGTTCTGTCATCTGGTACCACTAAGAACAGTCTAGAGCCATCCTCTTTGGAACCCCCTTTCAGGTAGTTGAAAGCAGCTGTCAAATCCTCCCTCATTCTTCTCTTCTGCAGACTAAATAATCCCAGGTCCCTCAGCCTCGCCTCATAAGTCATGTGCTCCAGCCCCCTAATCATTTTTGTTGCCCTCTGCTGGAGTCTTTCCAATTTTTCCACATCCTTCTTGTAGTTTGGGGCCCAAAACTGGACACAGTACTCCAGATGGGACCTCACCAATGTCGAATAGAGGGGAATGATCACATCCCTCGATTTGCTGGCAATCCCCTACTTATACAGCCCATCAATCAATTAAGTCTGCTCTTTGTAGTAGAAATAGGCTTATCATTAGTATGCTCTATCAAAGACTGGACCCAGTTGGTTATCCACTTGGTGAAGACGCAGGCTACCGCCATTCATCTCTGAATTGGCTGGGTTAATTGTCAGCTCTCCAGATTTCATTCATGCAGGTGCAGAGGAATAATAGTTTATCCCACTAATTCATCTAGAGTGTTCTTGAGTCACTTAGAATGAGGCTAGACTAATTGTTGAGAAATACACCATATGGAACAACCTTTCACCGCCCCTCCCCTACATCTGCACTGCCTGGGAAATGGACTAGATGAGCAAACAAGCCTTTTCTACTGCAATTTGGAGGGAAATAAGCAGGGTCATAAATTAAGGCATTTGCGAGCCGGTGTGGCACAGTGGATAGTGCACTGCTGTGGAACTACAAGACCCGTGAATTCAGCTTCTATTCCCAGCTTTGCCAATGAGCTTCTGACTGATCACCCCCCTTGTCACCTCGTGGATAAAGCACTGGCCTGGGACTCAGGAAACCAGGGTTCAATTTCTGGCCTTGCCACTGGCCTGCTGGCTGACCTTGGGCTAGTTACTTCACCACTCTGTGCCTCGGTTTCCCCACCTGCAAAATGGGAATAATGACACTGACCTCCATTGTAAAGTGCTTTGCGATCTACTGCTGAAGAGCTAGGGTTGATTATTACTTAGATTGTAAGGTCTTGGAGGCACTCACTGTCTTTTATGTATTTGTACAGTGTCTACCACAAGGGGTCCCTGCTCTCACTCTGGGCCTTTAGAAACTAATTTTAATAAAATAACAATTATCATTTCCCTACGTTCCTTACAAAACTATGTGTTCCATGGAGCTAAACAGGATGCAGTCAAGAAAATCTTTCAAATGACAGCATTTAAGATACCTAAACATTTCAAAATTAGTATGAAAAGAAATGGAAATATATATATATATAATGAGAGGCTGCGTGGATAGAATTTTATTCCAAATGGGCTCTAAATGGTTTCAGTTTTATCAATAAGAAACTCAGGAACATGTTGGCTTGTCAGTAAATTAGGATGTTAGAACAGATGGCCTGGAACACCACAGTTCCACAAAGACTGGAATTAGCTCACTGGCCTGTTGTGTCACTAGACTTGGTGACTGTTGAATAACAAGATGTTCTGGCAACATCTCAGTCTCCTACTGTTCAGCGGTGTGAACCCCCGCCATCCATGGACTTTGAGGAGCCCTGTTTTCAGATTTGCATGCCTCAAAGAGGGGGCTGATCAAATGAATCAAGAGGTGCTGTTTTTACATGTTTTGTACCCAGATGGGCCCTACCTCCCCACCCATGTGGCCTTAGGCGAAAAATGACCGAGAGGCCCCAGTCAGAAGCTCCAGTTGGTAGGAGCAGCAGCACCCAAAGTGAGGACCTTCGGCCATTCAGAGAACTTTCTGCAGTGTTAACTGGTTTTTTCCATGCCCTGTGCTGATGGGGTGTTTGCTCCAACCATCACCCACAATCTCTTCGCTCCACACCTGCCCCACTTCTCCCCTACCCTGCCCCCGTCACCCAACCTTTCATTTTCTTTCCAGTTATCTGATCCACTCCTAACTAACCCCACCCCAAACCATCATGGAATTGTTGGCTACCAGCACATTGTTCGCTTTGTGTGTGCACTATACCCCTTCCCCCTCCCCTGTGTCTGATTGCTCTATTTAGACTATAAACTCCTCAGGGCAGGGATCATCTACCACACTCTGTTTGTATGATGCCTAGCACAACAAACGGTGTCCCTAGCCTCTGCTTGTCAGAGGGTGGAGATGGATGGCAGGAGAGAGATCACTTGATCATTACCTGTTAGGTTCACTCCCTCTGGGGCACCTGGCATTGGCCACTGTTGGTAGACAGGATACTGGGCTAGATGGACCTTTGGTCTGACCCAGTACGGCCGTTCCTATGTTCTTAACAGGGTGCCATTCTTTGCTGGCTCTTAGGCACTACTGTAATAAGCATGCTAATTATAATACTTAGTCACATCTCTTACTAGAACTACATTTAATCTCACCTGGGTATCTGGGTGCCTAAGTGGTGATTTTAGAGTTCAACTAGGGATCTGCTCCTGCTAAAACAGCTTCTCCTTTAGCTAAGGTGGGAAGGGCTTGTAATTTTCAGAGATGAAGATCCTGAGGCATTTCCCCACGTATAGCTGTGAAGTCTGTGGGCTACTTCATACACACAGGTGACAACTGCAAAGTCCTATTAATATTTGCTATTTGCACCATGGTAGTGACAAGAAGTGCTATTCTGGGATCGGGTCCCCATTGTGCAGCGTGTTGCACAGCCACGTACCAGACAGCCCCTGCTCCAAAGAGCCAACAATCTAAGCTGCGTGGCCATGGTATTATTGCGGGGCAAAGACTAGAGGAAAATATGTGTTACTTTCTCCTACTCCAGCCATAATAATGTAGAGATCCTTCCCCAGGGAATCCCTGGCGTTCGGTGGGGAACTCACAGACCCAGCCCTCCTCTGGGGAAAAAGCCCTTCCATGCTTCTGTTTCACAAACTACAAGACAACGTTAAATTTAATAGATATTCGTTTTAAAGTGTGACCAGTGCTGATAGCCTGGAACATCACCTAAGGTGGCGTGACTGATGCATCGTCTGCTGTGTGAGAACTGGTCCAGGTCTGCAGGAGTGTTAGGAATGGGTTGCTTCTCAACTTGCTACTGCTGCATTTGTTTTTCATGTGGAGTTTTACACAGGTGAGGAGTAGCCTTTTATTTGTGAAGCACCTGCAAAAAGGAAGGGGGAGACTCATGGCCGGTGCAATCTCACCTGTTGGAGGAGCACCAACCGACTGAGCAGAGATACAGCTGAGGGGTTAATTGGGTGGAAGTCACTCCCCACCCCAGCAGCTGGGATTATATAAGCAGAGAGGAAGGCAGTGCTAGAAATTAGAGTAGGGAGCCTGAAGGGAGGTAGGAGTAGGTAGGACTGGCTGCTGCTAATAATAATAATGCTGTACCCTTGGCCAGAAGGAAGTGGGGAGAAGCTAGCTACTGACTGTGTAAAGAGTACTGTAATAGCGCCCCAGGCTGCGGCCTGCTGAAGGGATCGAATAAAGTACGGTGGTCGTTAAGAACACCTGGAGTTGTGGTGGTCACTTGCGAAGGTTGAAAAAGATTCTCAGGGGAACCACCCTGGGAGAGGGGCCAAAAAATGTTTTGTCTGGCTTAGCTGTTAATTCTGTTGGTAACTGATTCCTCCCGCGGGGAGCCAAATGCCTTCTTCTTCCAAAGGATTTCTTACTTCTGGGCACCATAAAACCAAAGCTGCTCATTTGCTGCCTGTGACTAAGGGTAGGTCTACACTTACCCGGTAGTTCGGCGGCAAGCAAATCGAACTTCTGGGTTCGACTTATCGCGTCTTGTCTGGACGAGATAAGTCGAACCCGGAAGTGCTCGCCATCGACTGCGGTACTCCAGCTCGGTGAGAAGAGTACGCGAAGTCGACGGGGGAGCCTGCCTGCCGTGTCTGGACCAAGGTAAGTTCGAACTAAGGTACTTCGAACTTCAGCTACGTTATTCACGTAGCTGAAGTTGCGTACCTTAGTTCGAATTGGGGGGTTAGTGTAGACCTGCCCTGAGATGCACTATGTGTTGTACCCTGTGACTCATAGGTGCTAGGGATGGAATTAGGTTGCTTAGCTCATCCCTTGGCAATACTGGTGTGCTGCTCCGGATCCCATCAATTCAGATCAAATGGCTCATGTCCTCCCCATTGACACAGGTCTAAATCAGTTCTGACTCAAGATATTTTATGATGATTTTAGTAATGAACTATTTCAGCCCCTTAGACCCTGACCCTCAGGTCTATGCAGGCTGCTTTGCACCACCCCGACTGTGGCAGAAGGAGAAAGGGAAATTCCAGTCTGTCAGAATGGCCTCTGGGGTTCTGCGGCTGGAACAAATGATGTACGTGCCTCTCAGAGCAGAATTTATTCTTTCGTTTGCCCCCACAATCCCTGCCTGTATTTCACGTGTTTGTTTCCTTCTTCCCTGCATCTTTGCTGAACATCCAAGAATACAACCTGTTGAGCCAGTGATCTTCTGCTCTTCCACAGCTCCCCCGGAAATGAGACCCTTCCGTTCTTTGATGGCTATCAATTGCTGATTAGAGAAAGTTCATAGCATTGTTACCCAAGCCCATGCCACTTTGCCAAAAGGTGCAATTAGAAAAAAGTTTAGCCAAGGAAGCCCCCAGATAAGTGGCTGACGATGACCTATAAATTCTGGCTGAATTGAGGCAGTCACAGAAGCAAAAGTCTTCACTGTAATAAAACAAAACCTAGTTATGCCACTTGCCTTGTATGAATTTTCCAAGGATTTTGTTTGGAATTAGATTTCAAAGGACTCCCATGAATACTGATGCAACATACATTTTCCACACTGACATTCTTAGTATGGAGAAACGTAGATTGATTCATTGAATGAGCCATTCAGTGAGATTTATAGGGGACATTTAAAGGTGACGAAATATAGTTAGTTAGCCTTCCCTCCAAAGATCTCCCAGTGCTTCACAAACACAAACAGCCAGATCCACGCCTGGTGTGGAGCTTTGCTGATTTACACCCGCTTTTATCTGG